TAGAAAAATACAACCCTAAAAGCATGGACTGCTAAGTTATATTTCCTCCAGTGTCCTCTTTAAAGTAAAACATTGCATTCTGTTTTTTAGGGAATATATCTCTTAATCATTATAACATGTATAACCTCCCAGACCCAGACCTATTAGAGCAAGCAATTACCAAATGTAGTACGACATTTATCTTTTCTCCAGGATCCCAAGGATTTCTCTTTGCTTTCAAAGCAATTTTCTCTCAGAGGATACATTATTTCACACAAATGATCTAGAGCCCTCACCACAACATCAGAATGCAAGGCAAAAATAAAGGGGCTGCAGAAATTAACTGGTAGGAGAATCAAAGATTGTTTCTAATTCCATTTTTCTACTTCAAAAAGCTCCCTTTTAGCAGGAGCTCTCCGCACCTTTAAAATGGGGAAACTTGTACCCATTTGAAGCAATATTCTGGGAATTAAGTGTTGTAACATATGTCAAGCACCTAGCACAGTGATTAGGTGGAATTACCCCTCTTCCCTTCCTGCTCCCACCTCTATAATTAAAACTCCTCTAACCCATCCGTATTTACATAGATTCTAAGGAGGCACTTTGAGAATAAATGTCCAAGTGCAGCTGCTGTGTTATACGTGACTTAGATAATGTGTGTGGCATCATGACTGCTTCAAGCTTAAACCATCAGCTCATACTTGGAGAGAAAAGTCACAATGGGTGGAGTGTCTATTAGTACCTTAACGCTGAAAAATTTAGTCTCTGCAGTCAGTGGAACACTCTGATATCAGAGGATCAAAATCCCACAGGAGGAAGTTAATTACCTTCATCCTAAATCCACACTTTTTCACCATTTTCCAAACCAGTGGAAAAAGAAAAGTTGGGTGCTTCATCTAAAGTAAAATTACTAAAACCCAAATTTCAACCTCAAAACCATGATCTTTGCTTCCTCTGAACTCGGAATATTAATTCTTCTTTACTACACACTTGGAGATCAGTCACTCTGCCTGTGTCACCTACTGCTTTTGTATTATTTTAATTTCCTTCTGTGATTTAAGCTGCAGTGTTTTATGTCTGTTCTCTCCAACCAAACCATGAGCTTTCCCACAGCCCCTGATATAATGTATCCCTCATTGAGCAATTGCTGAAGAGATTTTTTTTATGACCAGTAACATTTTTCAATTCAATAAAACATGGACTTTTGAGCAGTTTCTAGGTGCCAAAAAACAATTGGGGACTTTGGTAAGAAGAGACTTTACCTGAAAGGATTGTGGCAAGAGGGGGAAAAGGCACTTCTGCGATAGGAAGAAGGCTCCATAGAGATCTACCAGTGTCTGGAGGGTCAGGCGAAAGAAGGATTATGAGGCTGGAAAGAAGCAGGTGTGGAGAAGAGGGTGAAAGCGGTGGCGCGGTCTGATGGTAGAGGGGTCAGTGTTTTCCGGCACGGTCAGCTGAGCTGGTGAAGGGCCCTTGAGAGGTTTATGCTGGCTCAGGCTGAGGCGAACAAAGTTCAGCCTGGGGGAAAGGACAGAATCTTAAGCAAAGTTGTTTAACCAGCACTTTGTTCCGACTGATCAGTGGGGACTGAACAGTTTAACTAACCATGTATGAGGCAAAGAAAGGGATTGTAGGGTCTGTCACTGGCTTTGTTATAGATGCCAATGGCCCACGAGAGGGCACCAGTAACTCTGATCTGAGTCCTAGGGGAACAACATGGTTACTTGAAACACGCTGATTCTGCAACCTACACACAGAAAATGGTTCATTTCTGTTGTTTTCCTGGATCACAGGGCTCAGGTAAAGGCCAGTGTTGTCAGAGGATGTAAAAAGGAAAGGGACAGCTTTGGCCCTTCAGGAATTAGGAGACTAAACAAAGAGTCCAGAAAAGTTTACACACATCAAAAAAAAAAAAATTGAGAAGAAGGAAGACAATTAGCATTCACGGACAAACATTACCCCACCTAATCCCCCTCACACCCTCACGAGGCAGGCACTGCTGTCTTCCCAGCTGACAGATGTGGAAAGCGAGCCTTGGGGTGTCCATGGACTCACAGAAAGTAAGCAGGAGAGCTAGCTTTTGGTCCAGTTCACAGGTAGCCCAGGTCACATGGAAATTTCAAAAGCAAATGAGTTGTGGGAAGGTTAGGAAACACTTGGGAGGTCCAGAACTCTCTATCTAATTTACATAGGACTAATGAGCAACCTTTGAACTTCTACACTGCAATGAGACAGAATGGCAACCCCTGTTGAGATGGACCCCAATAACCATTAAAAATACATATATTCCAAGTGACTCTGGAAGAAGAAAAGAAATACATGTATAAAAGTCACATTTAAATATTTTGCTTACAATATTTATTCTAAAGCTTCAGAACTCTCTCCTTTCAGCATTTAAGGAAAACAATGTATTTGTTCAAGGACATAAATATTGTAGCCAGGGCTCCCAGAATAAATGCATGAAGGAGGATGCTGTGGGGAATTTGTGAAACCTTGAGCATCTCTCTTCCAAACCTATTATTTTGTTTGCTAAAGCTGAAATTCCTGTCCCAGAGACAAAGCTTTTCATCCTAGGAAGGTTAAGATTTAAGAAATAAATGCTCCTACTAGGATAACCCCAAGGGGAATGTGGCCAAAATGAGACTGATTTTGAGCAAAGGTTTACAGAGTAGAGCTGAAGAAGGGAGCCAGTAACCAGGGAAAGGTGACTTTTATCTAGAAAGGAAAGCAGTTGAGAATCGAGGGCAAAGAATACATACAAAAAGCCTCAAAATGAAAACCAAGAAAATCCCAGTTCTTCACAGTGATCAAAATATGTCAAGGTAATATTTCAAAACAAATTGGTGTATTCCTTTCCCTCAGTATTTATAAAATCTCATTAGCTGTAGCCCAAGGGAATCCCTATCAAGCCCAAAGAGGTGGACACCAGTTGCTTGGAGGAGAAGAGCACTGTAGGGTGGGTCATCTGGAGCCCCTGGCAGAGGGTCTTGTGGGAGTCAGCAGCCTGCTGTCCTTTTGTTGACATCTGGTCAACAATGGCCAGCATGTCCTCTTAGATTGTCCATTAGGTATAATGCTTATCTGTGCCCTGAGATTAGGGGAAATTCTGTATATCCAACCCACTTTGGCAATGGAAGGCCAGCTGGAAGCAGAGCCAGCCTGATTCAGTGTGGCCCCCAACATTGGCCACAGCAGCCATTTGCTTCAGCTGAGGCCTTCAGAGTCTCCATCGGGGCAGGAACACTGCCCATGTCTCATCAGCTACTAGGCAGTCGAGAGTGACCCAGGAAGAGTGGAGAGTGACCCGGGTAGTGAGGCAGGGGGGCCTTTCACTGCCTGCCTTGCTTGATGTGAGGTGCCTTCCTCCAAGTTAAATACTTGACTGATGTATCAGGAAGGCGGAGAGTCTGAGGAACTGGGCATGTACCAGGGACACAGGTGAACAGAAAAATAAAAGGTGAAACTCCCCATATGCCACTTCTGCACAGCCCAGCAGCCTGAATGTGCCCCAGGAGTATGAAGAGTAAATGATACCCCATAAAGCAATTTCAGAGCAGTTTGAGCAAATTTCTCTTTCAGTATCTCCAAGTCTCGGTGTGTTCTTACCGAGATGCCCCAGCCCAGGAGCTGCTGTGTTCTCAAGGACAAGACCTAAACTGAGGGCCTCACCTCCCTGAGGTCAGGAGAGCAGCACGAACTACTGACCCACCCCCAGGGCAGAGACCACAGAAGGTAGTGTTGAAGTTTTGTGACCCATATTCCCTTCTTTATCTGGAAATTCTTTCGGGCTCTAGTTGGATATAATTTAAGGAAGGCAACACTTCAGTCCTAGGAGAGTGATCTAAATTTCACGTCTTTGTTATCTCCAGAATGGAGGTTAACTGTGACTTCCTGGTGCTGAGAAAGACAGAACAAAACCTGGCAGCCCAAAAATAAAAGAATGGAAGGGTTCCCTTCCTCTCTTGCTGCTCCTCTGAGACTACGGATGTCCGGAAGCTCAATCTGGGTCTTGAGAAGGTAGAGCCCAGAAACGAGGTCAAGCTCCCTGCCAATCCCAGGAGCAGCCTACTCGTGTTAACTTCATGTCTCCATAGGCATTTGAGACTCAATGCAAATCAGTGTCTGTTTCTGTAAAAGCACTGCTAGCAATTTCTGAAGAGATGATTATCACCTCATTGCCACTCTCAGCTGGGGGACCTTGGGCGCATCATTTCACTTCAGAGAGCCCGTATAAAATAAGATGAGAACATAAAGATAGGTTCCCTTCATACCCCACAGGGTTGTTTTGGACACCAAACACTGAGGTGAGAATGTTTACCAGGCATCACTCCCAGTCACAGCAGGAAGGGTCCTGGCTTACTGACAAACACAGACCCTAGGCCTTTTTGAGAACTGCCCCGTGAAACCCCAGAGTAGAACCCTGGGTGTGAAACACAAACATGTTATTTGCCCACGTTTACTGAAATAATGTGCAGGCTACTAAGTAAACAGCCGGCTGAGGATTGTAAGTCAGAAGACCACCTCAGCTGAAACAATATCACATAATTATGATTTGATTTCAGAAGTACAAATGTGACCTGAATTAATTGAACTGCTCTTTAGTGCAAATTCCTGTATTGTTTAAGCTGGAGCAGGAGTCAGGGGGTGTGGGTGGGGGATCCTTTCTGGAAGTTCAGAAAAGCAGCACAGTTGGGCCTGTCCAGGGAGCCACGTGGACCCTTGTGGGGGCTCCGACCTGCTCTCTGGGTGTGTGTTCGGCGCTGGCCCTGACTGTTGGGTGACTGGCTGGGCTGGCTACCAGACAGTAACTGCCAAGGAGGAGAGCAGCACGTGGATTCTCCGTTGTCAGGCAGAGCACTTCAGGGAGGTGGGCTCTGGGAGGGCTCTCTGCTCAGCCGAGCTACGGCCAGAAGCCTTGGGAGGCAGAGGAGGTGCAGAGCCGCAGCTGCTGCCCGGCTCTCTGGAAGGACTCTTACTGGGTGGCAGGCGCAGGGACAGCCAGTCTCAACTCCTCCTGAGCCATGCCAGCCAACCTCACAGAGGGCAGCCCTGATGGCAACGGGACCACGCAGACGCTGGATTCTCTCCCTGTCCTTTGCACTGAACCGGGGACTTTTACTGAGGTAGTGGAAGGAGAGGAATGGGGCTCCCTCTACCACTCCTTTAAGGTGAGTGTCCTGCCTTCCAGTCAGCACACTGATTTTAAATAAGGAGACAAGTGGAATTCAAGAGACCCAGTTAAATTAGCATAGCCAATATTGTGAATGGGTGCTGTTTATTTTCTTTACTACTTAACTACTAAGAGTTAAAAAAAATGGATAAATTAAAACAGTGAGATTTTCATATCGTGCAAGGACCTATATTGTAGTTTCTTATGAATACTGGTCTTTTTTTCTGCTGCTGCTAAAAATGTGTTAATAATGAGTAACGTTTTTGAGTGGATAATTTTTTTATTTCCCCCTCTCCGCAGGTGAAAGCACTTTTGATTAAGCCTATGGTAGTGCTTGGAATGTCTATTTTCTTGTAGGGGTTATTGCTTGGAGTTTTTTGCTAGGAACATCAAGGTGTGGAAAGCCTACATCCCCGCACAGTGCCTGATGCAATGAGAGAGACAGTGCTAAGTGAGGAAGGAAAGACTACACTTTGTTGATTTTTTTTCATTGAACATCAGTGATAAATAGGGTCTTTGACTGTAGTTGGTGGTGTCCCTGCTTGCAACAAGTTGCCTTCTAGAACAAATGAGGAAATCAAAGTTTGATGTGTTACCTTCAAAACATCCAAGAGCTGTATTGAGGAAACGATACTCATTAAGCGAATACTGTTTCCTCTTCTGCAGCAAGATCATGGTCCAGGACAATCCTGGCATCTGGGAAACAACAATTTCCTGCTTCTTAAGTCAGAGTGCTTGGATATCAGGCTATTTCATATGGTGCCTGATGATGCATTCAGTCATTGCAATAATTCTCAGGTCTCAAACTGGTATTTTATACCAAACAGGTAAATACTTAAAGAAAATTCTAGCAGTTTTTTTTTTTTTAATCCTCTGGGTGTTCTTGAAATGATTTCTTTTTTACCCAGTGAAGTAGAGGTACTGCAATATCCACCTCTCTACTGGAGCTTTGCTTCATTTGCTTCTTTGCTAACAGTGAGAAGAAAACTTTCAGCAGGGAGCTGTCCTGGAAGGCAGGCTGATGCTACTCAAGAACCAAGAGACAATGTGGCAAAGCAGGGCCTGGACAAGTCACTTAGGCTGTACAAGACTCAGCCCCATGGACCCACCTCCTCATACATACACATGCACAGCCCCCAGATGCCCAGTTCCACTAGAAAATAGAAACTGATATTAGAGTTTATTGCCATTTACTGCTGACTGAATAATCCCCTCTCTGAAATCAGCCTTCTGACCCAGGGAGTCTATCTTGGAGAAGCAGGTTTGTACACCCAGGAAGCACATGGCTCCTCTCAGTTACTCTGCCTCTGCAGCCTCTTTGAGATTTATAGAACATGACAGCAGACAGAATGAAGAGAGACTGGCCCTTGCAAAAGGGATAATAATCAGCAATAAGACAGTTGTTCAGAGACTCAGGCAATAATCACTCTCAGCTGAAATCTCATTTGCCTTTTTCTGAATACAGCTCCTGAAGGGATGTTTTGCGTGTTTGGACAAACTCCTGTTCACTCTCCACTCATGTTTGTGACCTGTTCTCACTCCAACAGTGAGCAAGAATGTATGTGAATACATCTTTACACTCAAAGAGAATCATCATTTTTATCTCATTCCTATTGATGTGTTTGCTATCAAACAGCTGGACCCCTGGACAAGGAACGAAGCAGAGAGAGATTTAGTTCTGCCTAGGAACTTAGAAATGTTCTGCTTCAGTTTTTGAGAAATGCAATCATTGACTACAACCCAGTGATCTCTAGTGACCTGGCAGTCAGCGGTGGTGTTTGTGGGAACCTAGCTTAAATGTCTCAGTGTAAATTTTTCCCATGGTCCCCTTTGAGCACAAGCAGTTTTGATGCACAACAGTTTGATGCAAACTCTTGTTCACTCTGATCTTTTATCCCACATTCTTCTCAAGAAGAAAGTCAGATCTCCCAAATGTGTCCTTTTAATCTCCATTGCCTTTACCAAAAGCAATAAAAATATCATAAAAAATAAAAATGGTAACAGCAGTAAAAGTAGCAGAACTAATAGCAACAGCAATAACCATATATCTCATTGGCTGTGGGCTTTCTTGGTGCTAGAGGTCTTTCTAAGTGACTTCTGTGAAGTATTTCATTTAATTCTCACAACCCATGGTGTATCCTGTCAAAGGGAATTGCCTTTGCTCTTCATCTATGCTTATCTAAATTCTACCCACTTTCTGAGTCTTCTCTTGGATTGCTTCCTCCATGAAGCCCCCCTCCACTCATCCCTCCTTTAGAGTTACAGTAGTATCATGGACTTTAACTCTCCCTTTACCATTTAATCCAAGTCTGTCTTCAACTGCTATTTTCAGTATGTGTCATTAAACTCCTTGGGTGGAAAGGGGGTCAGATGTTTATTTCAAATTCTCTCCAGAAACCAGCAACATACTGAGCATACTCAATAAGTATGGCATAAAAGAAGCATGGTGTTCTGTTTGTGTCAAATGCCTGTGTTTTGTCAGACTTAACAACAGAGAGCTTGCTTTCTCAGGGATCGAGGTGGGGTCCTGTTAAGCACAACTCTGTATGCCGGCCCTGCCACGCCTGGTCCGTCCTCACCAAGGTCCTTCTCTACAGGTTCATTCAGCAGCTCCTTAGCCCATTTCTAGACCAGCATGACAATGGTAAGTCATAAATTCCCGTGTGTGGGGCATGGATTTGGTTGCGGCACCACGGGCTAGAACCTGGCACCTGGCTTCGCCTTGGGGAATCTGTATCACCGGGCTGCAGCCCCACCTAGTCTCAGCTCTCTCAGTCTACATGCCTGGGCTTCTAACTTGGTTTCCATGTAGCATTTCAGTTGTTGTCTGAACCCCAAAGCTCTCTTGGTGGCAGACAAGACATCCCTGTCTAGATCTTACTAGCCCTTCCTTCACAGGCTGAGAGCCTTTCGCTCCTTGCCTTCTCCAACCCCAAACTATTGCCCCTGTTCCCTGCCGCTCTAACCTACTCCTCCCTCTCAGTGTGTCCTTGGGTATCAGCAGGAAAGTCAGAGGTGAGTTCATCCCCCTTCCTCTTCCATGGGCTTCATGTGATTAACCCTAAATGGTCTTGGCTTCAAGGTCCTCAGGTCAGGCCCTGCTTTCCTTGCTCATACTTTCAAGGGCCCATCCAGTTCACCTCCTCAGTTGCTTCCCTAAGTACTAAGTGTTTACAAGGGCTTCAAGAATCTACCAGAAGTTTTCAAGGAGGATGGGACTTGGCTCATCAGAAAGTGATGGGGGACCTAAATATAAACCTGTCAGAGTGGAAGACAAGGATGAAACTCTTCATAATAGCCTTTAATTTTGCCAGTGAATTTACTAGCAATGATTCCTGAATCTCTGATTCTTAATGATGAGAAAATTAATTCAAAGTAACTGGGAGGGAAATTGTCTGAATTAGCAAATTGCCTAAATTATAAAAGAATGCAAATACACTCAGTTTTATCATTCTCAGGTGGGGGCAGAAACAGGAACCAAGACTGCTCAACTTCACAACAATCTTTCATTGATTTCCTTCAGAGGGTAGTTACAAATGATATGTGATTAGTCTAACTATTGTTTATATGTAAATGGTTTCTTCTAAGTTCTTGAGGGTGATTGGACAATCTGTTTCCTTTGTTATCACACACTCTTGCCTACTGTCTTAACTGTTAATTTTCTTAATATACCTCTCCTCCATTAATATAACAAAAGCAAATTCCAGTTTGACCCATATCCTAATTATCTCACACTAGGATTTAGCAAGAGCCCCATTTAAAAAGCTTAAGTATCATATACCTGTTTTCATTGCATTTTGGTTGACAACTCATTTCTAAGAACTCCTTCAAATTATGAGTACCAGCATTTTCACTTTGAGTAACTGTTGTTTCCAGCTTCTGTTTGCCCATTTGCTAGTTTCCATGAACATTCCTCTTGTCCTATCTGTGGTAAAACTGCAATATTTCCGGAATCTCTCACCTGGCTTTAGTGCATCTCCATATCAACAGGCATTTCCAAGGGGTGGAGAGAGTAGTTTCAAACTATGAGTACCAGCATTTTCACCTTGAGTGACTGTTACTTCAGCTTCTGCTTGCCCACTTGCCAGCTTCCATGAACATTCCCCTTGTCCCATCACACCCATTCAGGACTTGCTTTTCTCCCTTCCTGCCTTGGAACCCCAGGATAATAGAAGTGATGCCCTCCCTGGCATTGAGGACCCTTCTTTCCCTGACTTTCCACTGTATCTCCTGCAAATTATAACAAGGAGGCTGCTTGCATTTACATCGTTCATTTTTTTTGCTGTTCTCTTCCAATTAGTTGCACTCAGTATGTTCGTTTTGAGTTTCCATAGTTGAATACTTTGGCTGTTTGTAGCTTCAAGAGGTGGGGGTTCCCTGCTCTGAGCAAGTTTACTATGAATTTGACAAGACCCAATAACTATCACAGAATGTTTGAGGTTAAAGGGGACTCATACCAAGCTTTATTCTCACAGCAGTAGGTTGAGCGCTAGACTCCCATCTGCCCATCTCAGTCTCTGGCCACCAGCTCCAGCCTCTGCTCCCCAGGCACTCCCTCTGCTCGTGGTTCCATCTCCTCTCTTGCCAGCTTCCCTCTTCTCTAGGCTCCTTTCTCTCTCACTAGCACAGGGCTCTGTGGTTTCTCTCTGTCCTGCTCTCTAGTCTCTCTGCTTTCCTTCCAACTTCACTCCTCGCACCAGGTGGAACTCTGTGGACTGGTCTCTAGAGTGACTGGCAGATGCTGTGACCAATTACCTCCATGCGCTTGTTTGTTTCCTTTCCATCCCTCTCCCCAGCTGATACTTCTGTGACTGACAGTTCACTGGGTGGAGCTCTATCAGCTGCAGATAGCCTACTGCCAAGACATATGCAAGCAGGCACTTGTATGTATATAATGGGTGATATTAGAATCAGGTGAGAATCCTGGCCATGAAATTTCCATTTTCCCTATATTGTTCATAAGGAAATTACTACTAGCTTTGCTCAGACAAAAAAAAA